GTACGATGATGATGATCCAGCGAGTGCCGCAAGTTCATCCCCATACCGTTAACGAATGGAAAAGCATACAAACGCTACCAAATGTTCTTTCTTCCTTAAATGTTCCTTTCTTCTTATAAAAAGCTAAGTTCAATACTGCGGCGTGTGTTCAGTAAAAAATGTAACGACGACTCGAGTGTTACCGCCTGGGTCACTCGTAGAGATGCGATAGTCATTCCATTATTAAATCATTTTCTCTTTACAGAAGACACACATTTACCTGGTAGAGTGGTTGACGTCGAGCGTGTAGTGGTCGTTGATGCTAGAACGAACGAGAGCATGTAGAGATGAATTGAAACAGTCAGAATCATGTTCTCGTTCATCTGTAAGATGGAAGTCAACTCTAATTTTCCGCTCAACATACCCCTCGCTATTCAGCCTACCCTCTTATAATAATGCCATTCGGTAGCGTTGCAATAGACATATGTTACGTACAACACAAGCCTAATTTCGTATCACGCTTATTCACCTTACAGTCTGTAGCCAGCAGCATCTAGCTAAAATGTGATTTGCCGTTTTCTTTCCTTTACGGGTATTACACAATAAGTTTACACAACAGCTCTGTTCTGTTGTTAAAGAATTCTAGGCGCTCATTCAGCTGCACAAAGCCAGCTTTCTCGGACAATACGTTCCGTATTAGAAAATGACTGTCCCACATTTGCCCATTGCGGTATCCTTTAGTAGCTCATTTGTCTACAAGCTAGAATAACGCAGTTAGTTGAGAGAGTGGTTGACATCCATGTTGTACTTGATGTTCGTGGTCGATAAATCGAGAACATGTAGAAATGAACTATAATGTTCTTCTTGACGTGTAAGATGGAAATGAAGTGTAACTTTTTACTGAACACACGCCGCGTTATTGAACTTAGCTGCTTATAACTTAACTTAGCACACTGAACACACTGAAAAGATGCCTTTCCAAAAATAAACTTGGTTTGGTGAATTGCTTTATTCTAAGAAGGTAAGCTGAATAACAAGGTGTGTTTAGCGGAAGCTTAGACTTGAGTTCCATTTGCCACCTGAACGAGAACATGATTCTGACTGTTATAATACATCGTTACGTGCTCTCGATCTTTCTAGCATCAACATCGACTACAACCTCGACGCCAAGCACTCTGCCAGGTAAGTGGGTTTTTCTGATGAAGGGAAAATGAGAATCGCAGAAGAGAATGACTATCGCATCTATATGACATAATCAGGCTGTGAAACAGCTGCTCCGGCTAACAGAGACAGTTCTTTGTCTACAAGCAAAGAAACAAGAGCGTGAACGCCAATGCCGCAAGTTCGTACGCATAACGTGAATAAGACTCTAACGTGAATATTCGTAATATAAAATTAGGTTTGTGTTGTGTAGAAAATCTGTGTCACAACGCTACCCAATGCTGGAATAACCGCTGACGGGTGGAAAAGCATACAAACGCTACAGAAATGAGCGTCCAGAGCATACGGTAATGGAACAGTTATTACGTTGAGGAAAAAGTTCGTGCGCCGTGTTAAAATAATGATTTTTTATGCATGAATTTATTCAAAAAGAACAACAACTATTCTTCAAAATAAAGACCGTCATTGTCCACGACCTTCTGCCAACGATCTGCAAGCTTTCGGATTTGGTCAAAGTACCACTCCTTCGACTTTGAATCGAAAAATTCTTCACATGCTTCTTCAACTTCATCGAATGACTCAAATCGGCGACCTTTCATAAAGTGCTGCATTGATCGGAAGAGACCGTAGTCAGATGGAGCAACGTCTGGACTATAGGCTGGATGTGGCAGAACTTCGACACCGTCAAACATTCTGCTGGTCTTTCTGGCGGTATGCGGCTTTGCATTGTCTTGTTGAAACAAAGCGGGTTTTCGACGAACAAGACTTGGGTACTTTACAACCAGCGCATCGTAGACTCGATCAAGTTGCTCGCAGTAAAGTTCAGCGTTGATGGCGCCACCATTCGACACAAGTTCAAAATTTTTTGTTTATTAACATGGGGTTATTTTAACACGGCGCACGAACTTTTTCCTCAACCTAATATTTATTAATACGGAACCCATCGTGGAAAACAGCTGACCTAGTACAGCGCGATGACAGAACAAGAATTCTGAACACACCGTAGGCTGAATAGCGAGCGGTATGTTTAGCGGAAAATTAGACTTGACTTCCATCTCACAGATAAACGAGAACAAGATTCTGACTATTTCAATTCATCTCTACATGCTCGCGTTCTCTCTAGCATCAACATCTACTACAAGCTCGACGTCAAGCACTCTGCCAGGTAAGTGTCTTTTTTCTATGAAGAGACAATGCTTTAATACGAGAATGAGTATCGCATCCGTATGAGTGACACTCCACCGTCTAACAGAGATAGTTGTTAGTTGACTGGAAACAGCGCAACAGAATAAATAAAATCGACAAGGTAACAAATCGCGTGCTCACAACATGGGAAGTGTCAATAATAATGTTAACAGGCATCTGTTCAAGAGAAAATTACACTTTCCATCTTAGACCTCAGCAAGTCC